TGCACACTGCTCTTGTTACAGTATATTGCTCTGTGGTTCTGACCGCTGTGGTTTGTGGTTAGAGAAAATATTATCTTGTAGAAGCTAAGAGACTAAGAAGCAGCAATTTGGAATCACTATCCAGGCCAACCTCATCCTTCCAGTAAATGTCCAGATACTAAAAAAAAAAATAAAAATAAAAATCAATGATTGGATGGTGGCCATTGCTCATTGCAGACTGGACTCCTCTGGCTTTGTTACTGCTCCTCCAGGGTCCAGGCTGTTTCTTTTATTTATACTTTCTTTACTGAAGCACAAGTATAGTCTTCAATAGCCCTAAAAGATGGTGGGGGTCACATGGGGTATCTCCGAGTCATTGCAGGTGCTAAATCAGTAGCTGATCCATTACTAAATAAATTCACACACTAAATGTGTAGCACCTCCTATGTACTGGGCCCTACAGAAAATACAAAGTTGAAAAGGCAAAGTCTTTATTTTTTTTTTAATAGCTTCTGTGCCAGCTCTGACGTCTTCAGCCATTTATGTTCTAGAAAACATTACAGTAACACATTTATAGATAAAAACAACCCATCTGGAGATGAATGAAATACACAGCTGGTTCCAGTTTGGGTGCCCTGAGGTGAGACACGGTTCCAAGGTAGAATAAGGAAGGGAGAGCATGGCTTCACTTCCACTTCATTTCGGTGAACTTCTTGGAAGAGGTGGTATTTCGAAAGATCTGAAACAAGGATACTGGATGGCTCCCAAGGTGAGTTGTTCAATAAACGTATAAAGATCCAGGCTTGGAAATGCTAGCACCATGAATGAATGGAGGCAGCCTGCTCCCACAGCTCAGATGCGGTGATGCTGGGTGTTCTGAACGTCTTTGTTCACTGTTGGAGACAACTTCGCTGTTATTTCCTAACTCCCACTGTTGTGAACTGTCAGGCCAGTGTTTCATTATAGTCTTGGCCCTTCATCAGCACGGTTCATCCAAAGATGACAGGGTCTTATGAACAGAAATCAGGCCTTGGACCAAGTTTGTAATAAATCATGAACTTCATTAGCTAGGTGAGGAAAAAGGACTGACTCCTGGATGACAGATTGGCCTTGGAGGAAGAGGGTAGACTCCATGCGGCTTTCAGAAAGGTTCTGTTGTGAATTTTGACTGACCCATGAGGCAAATTTTTTTGGGGGGGAAGTGGTATGGAAGGAGGGCAGTAAGAGGCAAAGGAGGAAAAGGGGAAATTGGGGGTGGATGTTCCCTCCACCCACTGTTCCAGCAATATCATTTGAGCCCCCAGAGAAATGTTCGCATGGTCTGATGCTTCATAAATAGTAAAGGAGAAAATGAAATTAATTTCTATTCAAGCCCAATTAAGGTCTATGGGAGGAACTGGAGACTTTTCCTCTCACTCAAAACGAACAAAAGGCTATTAATCATGTTAGATGGTGGTTGAAAATATTTGTGTTGTTTGTGTGTAAAATCGTAGGTAAACCATTCAGGGCTAGTGTGTGTGGGCAACAAGAAATACAAACACAAGAGAGGAGAGGAAATGAAAAGGCAGTGGTAATAATAGACTTGGATTAATACCAGGGTTTTCAAAGGATCCCAAACAACTTCAGATTCAATTGAAATCACTTTGCCAAGGACTCAGACCCATTCCTGACCCATCTGTCAGCAGGCTGGCTGCTGTTTCCTAAGGAATGTCTCCTGAATCAGCCCTTTCCCCTTGGTCCTTGGTCCCAAAGCCTGTCTTGTTCTCAACTCTGAATGTTGTCGCCATGAATGTGTGGCTACAAAGCTCGGTCAGGCCGCCCTATGTGTCTCTGCTCTTCAGTCCACCTTATTTGATTTTGCCACATTCATGCGCTCATTCATGTTTTTCTTCGTCTGTCACTGAGGAAAGTCCATAGAATTAGTTAGATGACCCTTGCTGAGCCTGAACAAGGCACTTCAGACCAGACGTGTGTCCTGGTTTAGTCGGTGGCCTGCTGAGGCAGATAGGCCCCCAAATTTGGTTTCTTTAAGTGGCCTGGAATCTTTGCATTAGACAGAAGGAGAGGTGGTAAGCTGCAGGGTTCTAAGCCAGGAGACTGTAGGTGTCTGTGTCTTTCTCTGGTTCCTGGACAGTTTGGGAGCCTTCTGGGAAAGAAGACTTAACAACTAAAGCTGGAGAAGTTGTTTTTATAAAGTGACCTGGGATACCGGAGTACGACAGTAGGGAGGAGGATGAAGGGGAGATGCCCAAACAATGCTGCTCAGTCCTCTCCCCACCCACCAGGTGACAGTATGTCATAGAACTGAGCGGGGTGCGGGTCACTTTCCCTTCTTCTGCCGAAAATTCAGCTTGGCAGCTTTGAGGACAGGAGCCTTTGATGAACAACTATAGGCTGATCGGTAACCTGGTTTGGGCTTATAAGCAGGCCATTATATGCTCTATCCAGGGAGAATAAACTAAAACAAAAAGAACAAGAACAAGCCAGTTAGGAGTTCAAGACAGAGACTCCTGGTGACCACCAGTATCTATGTGTTCTGTCTATAGACACAGCTCACCCGAGGATATGTTTTTATTGATTTTAAGAGAGAGAGAGAGAGAGAGAGAGAGAGAGAGAGAGAGAGAAACATTGATGTGAGAGAACCATCCATTGGTTGCCTCGCATATGCGCCTGAACTGGGGCTCTAACCTGCAACCTTTTGGTGAATGGAATGACACCCCAACAAACTGAGCCACCTGGCCAAGGCAGAACATAGACATATATTTTAAAATCTAAAGATATTTATTGAAGCCAAGTCCCTCCTTGGGGTGGGCCGCCAAGGCATGGAGATAGCTCATGTCTTTTTACACACCTTGGTGAGTTTTCCTCCTGCTCCGACTGAGGTCACACTGCCCGGAAGGTGACCAGTGAGAATTGTAGCCTGGGCCCTGGGGAGTCTCCTAGTCAATACTTCAGCTTCAAACAGGAATCTATCAAGATTACCTTAGATCTGGGAGAAGGCACCTGAGTCCCCTCCCTCTTTACTTGCTTGTGGATAAGCTGATGTGGATAACTTCTTGTTCAAGTGCTCAGGGCTGGATCTGAGTCAACCAGGAGAAACAAAGAAGTGTGTCACTGCTGACACCTTTAACAAGCGCCCTGCAGCACTCCCAGCTGTCGCAAGTGTCCCCATTTCACTCCACATGCAATCTGTGGCTCCTGTCGCCTCCTCACACTGTGGGACACTCATGAAGATGTAGCAGATGGCTGTGTGTGGCAACAGTGCTCTTTCCCCACTGTGAGGAGTGGATTTCCCCCCCCCCCCATAAATTCCTTTTTATTTCATCCAAAAATAATTTTTCACTATATCAAAAGCAATGTATTGTTTTGATATTGTAGAAAAGTATAAAGGAAAAAATGTAAACCTCCCCTAATGCTACATACTGAGACGGCCACTGTTAAGGTTTTACGGTATTTCCTCCCCATGTTTTCCTTTGTGTGGCTTAATCCAGCGGTCCCACTGCCCAAGTACACTGATGAGCCTGTGCTAGAACGTTCACATCTCCCAGGCATTCATTCCTACAGCAGCAGACCAAGCCACAAGTGGGGTGCACGACAAAGAAAAAAGCTATTCCGCCCATAAGAGACACAAACCCAGAAGGTTCCTCACCAACCAGACCTGATCTTGACACAGGCAGTTTAGGTGACATTCAGCTAGTTCCAGATGTTTATTGGAACATAGGCGATATTTACCTATAAAAACAAGATTGTAAATGGTGGTTAGATGGCCCAGACCCCAAAAAGCATAGTGATGAGCAATGTAACTGAGAGATCATTGATAGTAATTCTGATCGCAGATTCCTCCTAAACCCTCCTGAATTCCAGGTCCCTCTGAGACCTTGGATCTCTCTAAATCAGTGGTTCTCAACCTTCTGGCCCTTTAAATACAGTTCCTCATGTTGTGACCCAACCATAAAATTATTTTTGTTGCTACTTCATAACTGTAATGTTGCTACTGTTATGAATCGTAATGTACATATCTGATATGCAGGATGGTCTTAGGCGACCCCTGTGACAGGGTCGTTAACCGCCAAAGGGGTCGCGACCCACAGGTTGAGAACCACTGCTCTAAATGCTGAGGGTGTGTAGCTTCAGCTGGGCAAATGGCAGTGGTCAAAAGCACAGTGAGAGGACTCGGGTGGGAGAGGCATAGATAGCATCATTCACAAGTCCTGTGCTGCTGGTTTGGGAGTCAGGGTGGAAATCATGGGCTTTGGAGTCAGTGCTGACCAGGTTCAAATCCCAGTTCTGCCTCTTACTAGCTGGGTGAGTTTGAGCAGATTGCTGAACCTCTTTGCATTTCCAATTTTCTTATGGTTAAAAATGTGAATAATTATTCACATCCCTAGGGATTTGTGTAAAGATGAGATGAGATAGGACATCATTTCTCAGACTTGAGAAAGAGACTATCTTACAGATTCCCACTGTTGATTTAAATTAGGATATTTCTTAAATATCAACAAATACTCATACTACTATAAAACCAAAGGTGGGCTTACAAATAAGTAGAAACCAAACAACAAGCCAACAAAATTAAAATTGACTAATGGGATGGATGATGTTATTTTGTAAAAATTAATGCAGCTTCTTGACATGTTAGTTTTAGTGAGCGCCAAGACATGCTTCTTGGCACCCCGAGCCCACCATATGCCGTGCCGTGATTCCACTCGCCTACCAGCTTTCTCTAGTCTAGACATTGTAGAGGGGAGAACTGGAGACTGGATGTCGCCCCTGACACGTCCCATTTGCCCCTCACAGTATTCATTCTTTTTCAATTACTTGCTGGTAGAAAAGAATCAAGGAATTTCACAGGAAGTCTGCCTTTTCAGCTTCTCTTGCAGTTGAGTGGCAGCCCCCTCCAGCCTGAGCCCTGGCTTCTAGTTTGTCCCCAACCTCACGTCCCTTGCTGTACTCAGTGGTGTAAGCCACCAGCCCCGATGGTGCCTCCTTAGTCCACTGCCTACTCTTTCTCTAAATTTTAGTGAACACCAGGTAGACTGAACCATCAGAACAATTGCATGGCTGGCAGAGACAGACGAGAAGCAGAGGCCAGCCAGGAGCGGGAGACAGCTGCTGGGAGAAAGGCAAGCCAACATGGCCAGGAAACCCATAGCATTCAACAGACATTCCGTCCAGAAGCTGAGCTCGGCGGACGTGATGGACAATGCCCTGAGTATCTAATAGTGAAGTCAATTCAAAACAAAACTGGTTTTTTTCTTTTATGAACAGAAAGCACTTAAATAACACTCCAGTCTTCAGCAAAGCTGCAGAAAGAAACCATTCATGCAGTGTGAGTTTTAAGGCTGGCTTCGCTTTTCAGCGGGCTCTCGGTGGCATGGTGTGAAAACGTGTGTTTCCTCCAGCTCCTCTCTGTGCAGCATGCAGACAACCCTTCAGCGCTTTTCCTGCCAATGTTTTCCCGCCTCGCAGATCACTACGTCCACTGACATTGATCTCAAGCAAACTTTAAACAAAGACGTGTCTTGTCTTTACCGCCCACTTAGCCTGCTGCGGTCTGTCTGTTGCAACATTTCTGTCTGTCCTTAGGTCTTTGGAATAAACTGACTCTGTGTTTCGTCAGACCTTAAGTCTCCTCACCCGTTATCTTTGTGCCCTTTCACATTTTGATAGGCTGTGTTCAACTTTTTAATCAAGTGTTTACGGCTGGTGGCACTCCCCACGCCCCTTGCGCTTCCCAGCATTCTGGTATTTGCATGACATTAATATGCAAAGGAGATGAAAGGAAACACTTCCTTATTCAGTTGAGAATTCACAGTTCTAGGGCTGGAGATGGGCTGGTGTATTTTTAATAGATTTTTATAACACCGAATTTTGCTCCTGGGTTTGAAAGCAAGAACATTCCCAGATGTTTGCCTGCCTTTATTCTATTTTTCTTCCTTCCTCTTCCTTCCTCTTTCTCTCTCTTGCCCTTGATGGGAATCCGGACCTACTAAACCCAAAATATGGCATCTTGGCATATTTCTTTTAATCTGAAAACAGCCAAATCAGGAAGGTCATTCTGATTCCCTCCTTCACCCCTGAAACAGGTCATAAAACCCTCATGTGGGCGAGGCCTCTATTCCTAGAGGAAAGGAGTGTGGTTTTAGAACAGCCCTAACAAACAGGCCTGGCTCAGTTTCCCCCAGGTGACTACACTGACCTCATCGGAGGGACCTACCACATTCCTCCACTGTCATCAACCAGCATCAGAACACTCACGTCTGACTGGTCCTCTGGATCTTCATTTCCTTATGAAGGCTCCCAGGTCACGTAAAACACATTAAGTAAGCGTGCGTGCTTCTCTCCTGCTCATCTGTCTTTGTCAGTTTAATTTCCAGGCCCAGCCAGGGACTCCAAGAAGGTCAAGGAAAACTTTTCCCTGCCCTGCACCCTCTCTACTGTGGACTTTGCTGGATAATAATGCATCAATGTAGACTCATCTGTTGTTACAAATCCACCCTCTGGTGCAGGAGGTTAGCGGCGGGGGGAGGCTGTGGGTGTGTTTCTTTAGGGGTATATGGGAACTCTCTGTATTTTCTGCTCAACTTTGCTGTGAACCTAAAACTGCTCTTTAAAAACAGCAGTCTGCCCTAGCTGGTTTGGCTCAGTGGATAGAGTGTCAGCCGGCGGACTGAAGGGTCCCGGGTTTGATCTGGTCAAGGGCACATGCCCCGAGTGTGGGCTCGATCCCAAGTGGGAGGCTTGCAGAAGGCAGCCAATCAATGATTCTCTCTCATCATTGATGTTTCTATCTCTCTCTCCCTTTCCCTTCCTCTCTGAAATCAATAAAAATCTATATTTTAAAAAAATAAAATAAAAACAACAGTCTATCTAGTAGATAAATATTTTAAATAATTCAATATTCACCTACTCTATGATCTTGTCATTCCATTCCTAGGTATATACACAAAACAGTGAAAATGTGTGCCCTCCCTAAGACTGGGACACAAACGTTCACAGCTTTATCCAGGGGAACTGGTAACTGGACACAGCTCAGGTGTCCACCCGTGGGCGGTGGGTAAACACGTGGGGGCACTTCTCCGGGATAAGCACGCACGATGGTGTGAAGGGGAGAATGATCTCCCAAAGCCCCTCGCACTCCAAGAGGAAAGGAACCTTGCACGCTCATTCTGTGAGAGCTGCTGCCCGGCGAGGGTGACTAGGGGTGCCCTGGGCTGCTTTGGGCTGGGTCCCCACCCCCAGGGAGTGTCCCAAAGTGCAACATTGGGACAGACCCACAGGAAGTCACTTGCTTCTTTTCTGGGCCCCAAAACATGCCCAGATCCTCCCTTCGGCTTGCTCTTGTGTCCCCCACCCAAGAGGCAGGTGGAAGGAGGGCCTGGTGATAATTCTCAAGGAGCCAACAGCGACGTCATAACTGGAGAGGAACATAGGATTGGAAAAAACTCCTGCCTCACCTCTCTCATACCCTTTCATGGGATTCTCAAAGAATGGGAACCTATTTTAGCAATAACTGCTACATTATCAGCCTATTTTACTTACTGATGATTGTGTAACAAATCGATCCAAAATTTAGCGGCTGGAACAAAAATGATTTCCTGTTTCTTAGGATTCTGTGGGAGGAGCGGGCTAACGTGGTTCGTGTGGTGTGGGATCAAGCACTGGGAGGCCTGGCATGGCTCATTATTGGTGGACAAAGGGTCCTCTCTACGTGGTTGCTTGAGCTTCCTCATGGCATGGCAGCTAGTTTCCAAGAAGAAACACTTCGAGAGTGCAAAATCATAAATTGCTAGGACTTTCTAAGGCTCAGGCCTGAGACTAGAATGGTGTCACTTTTACCACATTCTATGGCTTAAAACAGATCCCAGGGCAGCCCAAATTCAAAGGAAAGGGGCGATATAAAAGCCTGTGAACATAAGGAGGCATTACAGTCTACCTCAGGGAAATGACCCAGAGGGAGGGAGAAGAAACTTTTTTGGCGGGGGAGGGGGGGGGTGATGGGTATGTTTTTACCTTGACTGTGGGGATGGTTTCACAGGTGCTACATATATCAAACTTATCAAACGGCACACTTTCAATTTGTGCAACTTATTCGATACCAATCACGCCTCAGTAATGCCATTTTTTAAAAGAAAGCCATCTACTTACAGAACAGAGAAATCGTTTAGCAAATTATGGTAGACCCATTAGGTGGAATCTTTTATAGCTATCATCAGTGATGACAGCAGGAAGTAACGCTGGGAAAGGCTGATACATAGGCCAAGTGAAAAAAGCAGTGTGAAATTCTGGGTGCACTGAACATGTTATAAACGTGTGTGTGTGCAAGGCTAGCAAGGCATCTGCCAGATGAAAATACCTTCATTAGGGAGGTAGAATACCATGCATTTCCTCCTTTCATTGTCTACATTTTCTGCCATGTTGCTGTGTTTTCTCTGTAATTCATCTCCCGATCCTTGCATTGGGCACTCACTCAATTATCAACATGTCGGGCCTCTGCAGCTCAGGCTCTGTCCGTGCAGATCCTGCGTCTGTCTGTCTGTCTGTCTAAAGCACTTTGTTCCTGACACAGGGCCGCCTGCTCTGGGCCTTAGATGGGGCCAGCAATGCCGCCATGGAGCGCCACACACTCTGTCCTCTTCAGTCCTAACAGCAGGCACGCTCCCTCTCCCACCAGGAGCTGTCACCAACCTAAACAGGTCCTATTTCACAATTGCTTCCCGATGAGCCATCCCTTGCCCACTTCCCTGTGCTGCGCCTGACTTATAAAGCCGCTGGTTGAGCAAGCTCTGTGCCTCTGAATCACCGCCAGCTGCCAGCTCCCTGACAGTCTGCCCAGCTGCTCACCCCCGTTTAGCAGAAGCGCACAAGGCTTCATGCGCCTGGCAGCATCCAAAGATAGCAAGACAGCGACTGTGGTGTCAGCTGCACTTCCCTCCTGCCCTCCATCTCTCCCTCCTTCCTGACACTATCTTTTCACAAGAGAAGGGGAAGCGTGCTATTATCCTTTCCTAGATGTCACACAATCACCAGGCAATTTCCCCACGAGATGGGCTTGGCAGACCAGTGCCAGAAATGGGGAGAGAAGAGAGTTGGGCCTTTTAATCACACCTATTGACTCCAAGTACCCATTTCACCCGCTGAGATGCTGCTTGCTGTCTGCTTCAGGCCAGCCCTGCCCCTCCGGATGGTGAGCGTGGAGAGACAGCCGATGGCAGGCTGACACTTACAGTTTCATGGGCCAGAATGAAGTGTGGGGAGCAGATCCATGATGAAGGAATTCAAGCCAGAGCCAGAGTGGGGCCTGCCAAGTCCCTGTCACCTGCCGGCACATGAGGTGACAGGGGGGTAGGGTGGAGATTGAGTGTGTCAGGGTGCAGGGGGCCACATCTGCATCCAGCCCAGCCGTGTCTTCTGTCGGCGAGGCTTTGGGCTGTGAGCAGGCAGCCTGAAGTCTGTCAAGCTGCTCCTCAAAGCGGCCAGGCTAAAACTCAACTCCATACGACAGAACCACCAATTTGCCATCAAACTAATTTGTTCTTAAAATGGGATTTTTTTTTTCAGCAGGAGGCCTTTTTTCGGAGTTCCCAGCTTGCCCTCTGCCTCTCTCCCTTTCTTGTTGACTCCCTGCTTTAAGTTTGCATAAAACTTTTTGCAGAAGTAAGTTTTGCATGTGACACTTGCCATTTAACAGGTCCAGGGCTGGGGGACACTTGAGTGAGAGACGCCAAGGAGTGTGTGGTGGTCTGCTAGGTGGCAGCGGGGACCCTCGGCCCTTCCTCTCTCCTCTTCTCTCTCCCTGGTCACTATCAGGCAAAGAAATGCGAGCAGGGGCCCAGGTGCACACCTACTTCCCCCAGCACATTCTGGAAGGAAGTGGAATACCAAAAAGTCTTCCTTTTTGTGTTCATGATTTACATAACAAAAATGTCTCTTCTCTCTCTCTCTGTTTCATTATTAGACTAAATACAGTCAGTCCTCCTTACACAGAGGTGATTGGTTCCTGGGTGCCCAAGACGATCCCCAAATCTGAGGATGCCTATATCCCTTATATAAAATGGCATCATAGTTGCATGTAACCTACACACATCCTCCCGTCTACTTTAAATCATCTCTACATTACTTATAGTGCCCAATATAATGCAAAGGTTATATAAACAATTGTCAGACAGTATATTTTAGGGGAAAATGACAAGGGAAAAAATGTCTATTTAGGATAGACACAACCGTTGTAGGCCTACCTACATAGCATCAATGTAACTTTTTCTTTTAATATTTTTGATCAGAGATTGGTTAATTCTGTGGCTGTAGAACCCATTAATAGGGAGAGCAGACTGTATTTCAAAACAGTTGGGAGAAAGTTATGAAGCTGAACCCTCAATGATGTAAAATCCCATTTATGCCTCATCCAGAAAGCTTTCTTTGCAAGCACAAACTGGGCGACCCGAGGGAGCTAGATTTATGTCTCAAGATTAGTTTTTTAAGGTTAAAAATTGCTAGTCTATCATCTAAAAAAGTGATGGTGCTTGAAATCCCTCAGACATTCTAAGCACTGGTAATAAAGGTTTTAGATTTTATTTCAACTTGTTAGAGATCCAGAGCAATAGGCTGGACCATATAACCTAGGTGT